ATATATATATATATATATATATAGATGCTGTATTCTAATTATCTTTAAATTTACAGATTGAAATCTCCACTTCTATTTCCCAAACAATGAATCATACATGTTAAACAAGTGTTATAATTAATTAACTGTCCAAGTATGTGCATATAATTAATAATATTCATTTATTCTATGAAATTAGTATTATATATATTATTCTTAATTGTTGGAGTTAGAGTTGCATGTGTAAGATGCATGTTCTTGGTTATTTGATGAAGCAAATTGAACCACAAGAAATTAAGGCCGTTGGATTGCTAATTACGATAAAACTGCTTGCTAGCTAATTAAGTTACAATATTAGTAATTTTGTACATCACTTAATTAAGAGAGATCCCCTTGATTGATTTCCCAGTTCTTAATATACAGAATTAACGTCTCCCAGCCTCCAAGACAGATTATATGCCAAAGTCTTAAGATATGTCCCAAACTTTAAATTTTGCATGTATATTGCTAACATATATAGACAAAAAAATCATGTAAGAATAAGAATTAAGATAAGAAACGTAAAAAGAAATGTGGACTATCGATCACTTTTAATCTCATACCCATTTCATGGATTACACTTTTCACAGGAATTGATCCGGATGCATCTCGTTAGAGTTGATCTTGATGATGTTGTTTTTAGCATCGGGCTTAAATACGTCAAATATTTCATATAGAGAGTTAAAAAAAGAAAAAGGAATTAAAAGTAGGTAGGATTAATGAATTGAATAAGTAGAAAGATACCGACGACTACATGCTAACAATAACATATATTGGAAAGGAGCACTACTTTTGAAGCATAATTAGAGACGTATATATAAATATATCTTTTGGATCCAATTAATTCTGGCTTCATACCAACAACGACTATAAGAAGGACTAGCTCTCAATACTTGTCTCAACTATATATATATATATATATATATATATATATATCCTCCTCTAAATAAACCATATATATATATATATATATAAAGAGAGAGGGAGAGAGAGAGAGAGAGAATTTTCAGTTTGGTACTCATATATATATATATATTTTCTTAGAAATCTTTTATAACTGAAGTAATAAATTAAAGGTAGGTTTTTGGTTAAAAGCTAGCATTGCAAAGAAAAGGATATATAAGAATAAAAATTAAAATGTTGGTAAATGAAACAAATGAATGATAGGAAAAAAATGTGATGGAGGTAGGTAGGTGGTAATATATAGCAACAGCATGCAAGAGTTGTATGGATGGATATAGATATTAGATAAAATAAAAATGTATAGAGTTAGGTAGGTGGGATATATATATATATATATATATATATATATATATATATGTGGCAATAAACATTCTGTCCCGCATTTTTATGTTTGTTAATTAGGGTATGTAAATCGATTCATATTCAAGGTCAACCCTTAATTAGGTAAATTAATAAATGAAGGCATGCAGATATAAAAGTTTGGTATTATTTTGATTTTCTTTTCTTGATCATCAATTCCTAGTTAAGACTTGGAACCAATCACGTTAAAATTAAACCATCCGACTATATATATATATATATAATGCTTGGGGAAATAGGAAATAGTGATCTTAGGTATAATAAGGTTGTTCAAATTGAAATGCTTCTATTAATTAATTACAAGGGTACTAATTAATATGAATATACAACCAATGTATTCATCAAGATTGATTTTCTTTTTCTCACAATATACACTAATTTAATTAAGATGATGAGAATGCAATAAATCCTTTCATCTGTTGGCCTGGCTGAATAATGATTACATATGCACTTAATATATAGTATCTGGAACTTTTAAGAAAATCAAATAAAATAGGATGTACGTGTGTACATGTTTTGAAAGACTGATGCATATATATACATATATATATATATAAGTATATATATGTGTGTAATACTAATAAGTAGTATATATATATCATTCATTTGTAGGATGAATTTGACTTTAAGATTGATGTAGAATCATCCATTACCCACACATATACGTACATATATATATTCATAGAGAGAAAAGGTTGAGAGGGATAGGGATGGATTTGGAACTTGAAAATGAGAGGCTACGCACGCATGCATTCACCTTCACCAGCCCAACCCAAGTGCATATATATTATGAAATGAAAGTTGGAGGCAACATTCATTGATGGGTAGGGCCATGAAAATCACAAAATGGACCCCGTCTTTCTCAATTCACTAATATGTGGTAGATTGGGGTTTGGGTGCATGTTGGTCTCGTCATGCTTTCGCATGCAGCAACTCAGCACAAGAAAATGAATTAAAGTAAAATAAGAATTGGAGTGATACAGAATGAATGTGCATGTAGAAATATCATGATGAATGATGATCCCTCATTGGATGTCTGTTGGGCCCACCTAGTCGTATCTTTTCGCAGGGATTGTGGTTGAAAGCAGTTCCATCATAACTTCTTATAAGTGCTGCACTTCCATGAAAAGATGGATGGATGGATGATACATGTAATAAAATATAAAGAAGAAGACAGATTTTTATGAATTTCAAAGATAAAGATAATGATGATGATGATGATGATGATAAAAAAAGAAAAAATCAAATTGTATTTTACGTGGGGGATAAGCAATGCATGAAATGAGTAGCGTAAAAATCTACAACAGAATCATTCCATTTGTTGAAAACATACCACTTACTTCTCTTCCCCCCCCCCCCCC